GATATGTAATACAATACGAATGTCATCGAAGTTCAGTTATAATTTGTGTTATTGTAAAAAAGGTTATCGGACACGTACAAGGAATTCAAAATGCCTCAATAAAAGGCGCGTTTTTTCCTTTACATTCAGATAGTTCACATAGTCTGTTAGTATCTTTTGGTCCTGATTAAAAAGGTATTGACATATCATAAAGGTTAAAATGGCACAGAATAATAACCTGACACCCGTTGACGTATTACAAATTTTGATTATACCAGTTTGTAATCAAATGAATGTTAATGAGGAAGATATTAGAAGAATCGCCGTTCTTACTTTAAGAAACCTTACTCCTCTGAGACGCGAATTCCTTACTAATTTGACCGACAGAATAAATTCTCATAGTGTAGAATTGCAAAGACTAAGCAATGATAGTCTGGAAAATGCAATTTATTACGGGTGCGAATTTTCCAACTTAATTGAATGGATAAATTCTTTTGTTACTAACGAATTACAAAGACAACCAAATCCGGAAAATGAAATTTATCTAGGATATAACCTTTTTCCTTGATATTTTTCTTTTATTAATTATCAGCATAGAACTATAATAACTTTGTTTAATGTTTAGATAAAAAAAATTTTTACCAATTTAGATAGAAGTGATTTTAATCGATAATAGTATGATAATAGACGTAAATTTGACTTTAAGTAAATTTGTAATTTAAAACAATTAGGATTTTAGATATGATTTTGGGTATGGTTAGATGTGATTTTAGATATGATTTTAGTCATGATTTTAGACAGGTTGTTTGTATCAATATCATTCTATTGCATACTTAATAAGCCCATGGGATAATTTATGTGTTTTATTCTAAAGAAAAATCTAGTATCATATTAAAACAATTATTATCGATCGATCACTCTTATATTACTAATATGTAGGAATAAACATAAGAAATATGATTAGCTTTCTATACACTCTCTGGTCTGATATCATCTCTTTAAACCTTCACGATTTAATGCATAAATAAGTATGATCTAGTTAACATGATATCTTCTATTTTTCTATGACCTAGTTTAACTTCTTAAAACTCTCGTAATTTAAAGTGTAAACCAAAGTTAGATATTAGAAGTAGTTACTTGCTACACAGTTATAGATATTAAAAGTAGTTTCTTGCTATTAGTTATAGATATGTTAGAAGTAGTTTATTGCTGATGCAGTATTAGATATGTTAGAAGTAGTTTTTTGCTAACGCCAGTTTGGATAATTTTTTGCTGAAACCGTTTTAGATTAAAAGTAGTTCTTGCTAACGCAGTTTTAAATAAGTTAGAAGTAGTTTCTTGCTATTACTGTTATAGATATATTAGAAGTAGTTTCTTGCTAACGATGTTTGATATGTTATATAGTTTTTTGCTAACGCAGTTTTAGATAAGTTAGAAGTAGTTTTTTGCTGACACAGTTTTAGATATGCTAGAAGCAGTTTCTTGCTGACACAGGTTTGGATATGTTAAAAATAATTTATTCTAGTAATATTGCTTAGAGAAGACGGTTTAGTTATAGGAGATTGTGCCTATTATGATAGCAAACAGATTCTTGTATGTTTTCTAGTTGTGTTTTTAATATTTATCTAATCGAGTAATAATAATAAATTTAATACATTGGAATTTTGAGATTAGTTTATATCTATTAAAACGATAAAAAATCGCATGATAGTAAATAACTGCATAATTTATTGTAATCATATGAAACATCAGTTTAATTTTATGAATTATTAAAAGAGAAACCAGGTTGCAGAAAATACAGAACCAAATGCATTTTCTCTGATTTTTTAATATTATCTAGTTTATGTAATAGAATTCGCTTAATCATATATTTTTCTAAGTTGAATTTACAAAATTA